AAAGAAAATCATTGTAAAAACTAGTTCAGGCTGACAGATAAAGAAAATGAAGAAAAAGCTTGTTTTAATAATGGAACACACATTGAAACAAGTACAAATGCTACAGTTGCAAATATGGACAAACCAAAAAATAGTAATAATAACTAACCTGGAATAAGATATATCACAAACACAAGCCAAAGTTTCTGGAGTTGATTCAGAAAGATCTTGTGCATCTCCCACTTCATGTTTTCTATCAGACATTGCCGAGTTAGGAAGTCTTTTATGCCCTACATTAGATCTTGTTACTGGTGTACTATTGTTTTCCCGCAGAATGTTGCCATCTGATAGGGATCTTTTCATAAATGACCTATCAAAACAAAAGTAATATTTGCTAAGAAAATATACAGCTATTTACCAAAAAACTTTTTTAATATAAAATCTGAAATGATTTAGCAATATCTGAAGCCGAACAAGGACATATTTAGAGCCTATCCTCGTCAAAGATGATATAGAATTAAAGATAATCAGTATAATAGAATTAGTTAGTGAGAACATAAATCTCTGCTTCAGTACAATTTGAGTTTCAGAATAGTGAAAATCAGCACTTACTCCAAGACTGAAAACATCGAAAACAGAGTGCTTAATGTAAGCTGATAGAGATTCTAATCATGGTAACCTGAGCAAATATCCGTAACTATTAAACAACAAAGCTTTTCTGCTCTTACTGGCTACAATCCTATTCCTATCATTACGAATGAGACTTGGCAGGAGTGCTAGGGCCTAGATAAAGCCCAGCCATGGACCGAGAATGTTTAAAGTTTGGCTCTGACCTGACCCTAGGCTTCTAAGCCTCAATCCTAGCCTTCCTGGATGGTCATTGGTCTTTTCTGACGGCATTACTAAGATTAGAATTTATAAAGGATGCACAATCGTAGATCGTAGAATGGACAATGAAACAAATTGGAAAAGAGAACAGGTGGTGCTGAGTATATAAAGGAAGAACTAGAAAATTTCTCTGTAGCACACAAATTTACAATAAGTACTAAAATTTACCTTCCATTCTCTATCGCAAATCTATTACCACGCCTCTCACCACTGTAGTGTTGATCTGGATCCAGCTCCCAAAGTGCTGGTTTACCCTGTTGAGGTTGGAAATGACCAAGGAATCTGCAATATGAGCAAGTATACTGCATAGTTATTGAATTGGCGTTACAAGAACAGAGGTTCATCTGCAAGTCTATAAGTGCGCAAAGTTCATAAAGACATGGAAATTGGTAGAACCTACAAATTTATTGCAGCTTGTTTTTCAGCATCCATGTAGGCATTGCTATAGTATCTTTGAAGCGTTCTGAAGAACTCCTGTGACTGAGTTGCTGCTTTCCATTGACCTCTTCTCTCAGAGAATATCTGCTTAGCAATACAACGTTGTTATTGAATGTGCTTGAGTTTTGATGAAATAAAATGACGCATGATAACAAAATCTGACCAGATAACAAAACAATTGATGTACATAGTGAAGATAATGATGGCCACTCATGCAAGAGAATAAAATGGACAAGACTGCATGATACTGTATTATATTGATTATTTCTGGAGATAATCAACACAAGAGGTCCTCAAATAAACAATCTAAATTACAGGAATGTTTAATTTTTGCTTGATATATCCTAAATTGTTATCAAAGCAATTCCTTCGAAAAATTTCAACTAAACTTGCTTCGTTTTACACTGTACAATCAGAGCAGTTTTAGAAACCAATCAATTTATATTAACATCAGGTGCAGTCACTTCCAAACAGTGCCGCAACTGCAAAAATGAGGACTAGTAGAAAATTGTCAAACGAATAATCCTCGGCATTTTCAGCTTGACATGATTAAAGAAAAAGTTGACAAGTAGACCAGCAGAAATTGACTCACTGAGAAGTGTCAAAGAAAATTATAAACAGGAGAAAATTTGAAACAGATTTTTTTTTTCTTCTTAGAACTATAAAGAATCAAATTTGGCCAGAGATTGGTAAACCTTTATGCAAATTTTAGGTTTTCATTTAGACATCTGCATTGTCTATGATGATAAACATGAAGCCATAAAATAGTTTCACATGCTAGAGGTATGTCGAATACAGCGACATTAAGAACCCATAAAATTTGTATTGATTACCACACCAACAAAGAATTACCACTCAGCTAGTTCTGTGATGAATCATACAACACCAATAAAGTTAACTAAACTGCATTTTATTCAGGACAGGACTATAGTTTGGTACAAATGCAAAGGATCCAAGTTCTATCTCTTTCTTTTATATGTGTGTATGTATGCATGCATGCATGTATGTATGATATACATACATTGTGCGTGAGCTTTTGAGCAATATGTTGCATGTGCATGTGTGTGTGAGTGTATACATATGTGGATAAGATATTAAAGTTTGCAAGGTACAAAAAGTTTATTCCAATCTTTCATACATCATGATTTGTTCCGGATGGAACATCTACTCCGTTAATCTTTCTTATCATGTCATAACTAAAAGTCTGCACTCTGAAAGCTTTTAGGTGAGAGAAATAGATTTTAGCAAGACAACATATCATGATTTTAGGTATAAACACATATAATGGAGATACTTATAATTCAAACAGAATATGCGTCAAATCCTGAGAAATAAGAAAATAGGATCTAATTCACCAAATATATAATAAGGCATAGTAATTTAAGTAAATAAGCTATAAAATAAAAAACATTAACTCTTCAAAGAAACAATGAATCTGATAAAACGGGTGCGCAGATTGGTGCAACCAACAAATATTGACATATTCTTAATACTCATAGGACTATGGTAAGTAACTCTCTGCCTGGAAACAGTAAGTTATTGGCATGGCCATAGACTTCGATACATACAAATTGACTGCCCCGTGAAGAAAGAATTCAAGAACGATTCAGGGGAAAAAATTACCCTAGCCAAATATATTCATCCACCTGACTTAAGGGTATAAAATACCAAACTATTTTCATTTTCAACCACTCCATATCTCACACTCTTGCAGCTGAGGAGAGAGCATGCCACATATCTTATAATATCAATATACAAGTAATGCGCAATTTATTTTATATAGATCTCCCCATCACAGCTGAAAAAAATTACTTCTTTAAAAGAATTGTTTTATTCCACTAGATGATTAAGAAGACCTTCTTCATGTACCTTATTGTGTGCAGCAGAACCACCATACTGCAGCGCAAGTGTATCACCCATCGTCTCATAAAAGCCCATCAAGTCATTAGCAAGAGGTGCATCAATATCAACTTTTGGAAAACTTATGAAACCCAAGGCATGAAGCTGATGTCCAATAGCAGCTAAACCATAGGCATATTGAGCAACATTTGTACGATCCAAGCAGTCTATACAATTTGTCCTCAGTACACCTTTTTGGAACTTTGGAGGTTTAACCAAATATATTTCACTATTTTCACTTCCTGATGCAGAATTATCAGAAGTGGCTGCATTATCTGCCTGGGTTCCAATTTCAACATTAACACAACCATCATTCCTGTTGTTGCTGTAATTGTGATGGTCATTGTATGCAAATTCATCAGCATCCTCTTTCCTGAAAGTACAATATAGTAATGAGATTAAAATTAAGTGGAAATATTGTCAATCTTCTGAAAGCGCTAATGGTTAGCATGCAACTGCAAGTCAATGATTCTTTGCCCCCTTTACGGTAGAACATTGAAACAGATAAGCATTTGTATTGGACATGTCCTTTTCCAATAAAAATGGGTTTCAGGCTACACATTAAGTTTGCAACCACGTTATGCTTCATTGAAATTCGTCAGCATTTTATGAGCAGCTCCCAATCAATTTGTAAAGGTTGGAAAGAAAGGATCGGGATGGATGTGAATCCTGAACTAAGAAGGGGAACAAGAACATGAAATAAGTAGGATTGTTTTAACCTCCTAAGCAGAAGGCATTGAAGCATAGTCTTAAATTCACAGAATAAACATGCTCTAGTGAGAGGTATTCCTCTCCCAGTTCTTGCTGAGAACATATGCTTAATAATGCAATTTGCATCCTGCGCAAATTAACCATTATAAATGTCAAAGTCCAAATAGTTTTAGAGCTCCTGAGAAGGAGATAATTTCATCATTTTTAGCTTGGAGTATTTAATATGTTTAAATCGAGATATGAATTTATTCAAAACAGAATAAGTAGATGTTTTGAAGGGTATGCAAGAAGATTCTAGGGGAAACTATATGCAAACACTGAAATTACAGAAACATAATGTAATGAAAGTGTCTTAACAGGGCTTATAATGACTTAGTGTTTGTGATCAAACAAAACCAGGAATTTGGCAGTGTGATCACATGCCATCTGGACGTTATATCCACTTTGCAAGCAGGTAAGTTAGATCTATTTATTTCTGGGTAGGGTTGTCAGATAAATGAGCTAGTACGTATTTATTTCTGGATATATCAACAGCATCAGAACTTTCTGGCCTGATATTTGACTCAAAATTTTTGTTCTTCAGAAAGCAACGGAAGAATCAGGGCATCTCAAATGATTTCAAGCAGAGCTTATATTCCTGGATAAATCAACAAAATGCTCAGAAGTTTTTGGTCTCATATGATTTAAAATGGACACTCTTTGCTTATTAAATAAGAGAAAAAAGAGGAGATCAAATAAACCAACAGAAACAGAACCATAAAGAAAGCCAGAATGCTCAACTTACCTAGCGGCTAGCGCGTGAAAATAATGAGAAAAAAAACTTGAACCTAAAGATTGTTTATTTAATTGAGCACTTACAAGATCTGAGGATACTTCAGAGCACCCTCAAGGCTTACAAGTGGTGTCACTTGACAGTAGAAAAAGCCCGTAAGAGTCAAAGCATATGCAGCCACTTTGCCCAGTGTTGCAAGCACATTTGTACCTTTGCTGAAGGAAGAGTTCTTCAAATTTAGAGGTTTAATTCAAGATAGATATTACAAATAGAATTGCATTCTGAACCAGAAATCTATATGAAAGACTGGCAACAACAGTGGCTACAGACCTTCGAGAATGTTTGTTAAGATCCCAATGTAAAAATCTCAAACGATTGTCCTCTGGCAAATCTTTATTTATGATATCAATTGCATTGGCAAATTCTGCACGGAGTATAGATTCCCGAGGCTTCTTCTCTCGTGTCTGCTTGAAATGAAAATTATATCACCGCCAAATCATAATAACAAAAGGTATCAGATTGTAAATAATAATAATAAAACCTTAATCAAGTTCAGAATAATGATCGGGTTTCCATATCTCTTGACAAGGTTCTCAAAATGAAGCCGTGTAGCTTCATAATTTTTGTCCTTCTGCTGCACTGTAAAAAGGGACTAAATGTCAAGGTAAAGACATAAAATCTGGCAATTTGACTAGATCATTTCAACAACTTACAGACGATATCAGGTTTAAGATTCAGTCGCGAAGTTTCCTGAGCCCAGAAAAGGGGTATGGAGCCCCTATTCTGCACCACAGAACTTATCTGAGTCGGAGTTCCTCCAGGACTATCTTCGAAAATAATTTGTTCTGTCTCCACATCATTTGCTACGCTGCCTTTCTCGTTGACTCCGCGTTTTAGATATCTGACTCAGAGAAGGGGCAGGATCTTAAAACATGTGAATAAAAACAAATAACATCCACACATTTGTTCCAAATATTTTTTTATTATCAGCCTTCTTCAATCTACAAGAAACAAAATTTGACTCGCTACTTGTAATTGACATTTACATTTTCTATCACTAATGCGAAAAAGGAAAAGAAGAGACCCATCATCATCTTAGCATTTCCCCATCAAAATAGTTATCTATCAACTGAATAGTAAATGGAGAAGACTCAACAAGATGTCAAACCAATTTCAGCTGCCAAATGCTTATAAAGAGAACTGAAGCAAGGTTACCTGGTGCCTGCATAATGGCGTGAGCGTCTTGCAATGAGTGTCAAATTAAAATCTTTCCCTGATATTGACAGCTTCGCCTGGATCGAGAAAAAAGACATCAGAACATACAAAGTA